TAGGTGAGAGTGGGAACGTAGATTGAACAGTAAATCAAGAGCTTTTAGTCGAGAACATGCCACAACAGTCTCATACAGTGACTGAATCACTGCTGCCAATCTCACGCTCCATCCTTCCCTCACTCGCCAACAAGACACATCAAAAGCAGTGATAAACATGTAACTTTTCCCCCTCTGTCTAAAAGCTCTCGTCCCAAACTTTTAATAACATGAAGCCAATATACAATGAAATCAGAGTAGTTTTTTGCCTTTATATACATAAGTATTGTCCATAAACTCATTATGGCAATTTCTAAGTGAAATTACTAAATTCCCCCCCTCCCTCTGCTAAACCCAAGAAGGTGGATTGTATCAGTAACCAGTGCTCTGGAGTTATGTGTCATAAGAGGAAAATTTTGTCAACAAGAGTATGACTTTGATTAGACCAGTGTTTTTCAACAACTGTGCACACTAGTGTGCCGTATGATATTGGCTGGTGTGCCGTGAGAAATTCGCCAACTTTGTCTAAAAATAACTGCATTCACTATTGGCGAGGGCTGACTGTTGAGTAACCACGTAATACTTTTTTATATCAGGAGGTGGCAGCAGATAGCTAAGTACTTTGAAATTTAAGAATGGGTTTGGTGGGATGCAACCACCAAATGCGCGGGAAGCATTGAGGCGAGAAATGTAAGAATTGGACGCGACCAATCTACGTAAGAGGCAGCGGGGAGAATTTTGGTAAGTGAAAGTGATTGGGACGTTTTTGAAAAGGAATTATGCCTTTTCTGAACAGGATTCACGTCCTCCGCTCTGACCATGGGGCAGCTGTGGCCCGTTTTGTACTGACAGCCACTTTGACAACAGCTCAGCGAACGCACATCCGTAACATGGTGCCGCACGCGGACTCTAGTCGCTTGGACGAAACCATGGAGTGGCAGACAGAACCATCTGCGCAGTCCTTGACTCGTGTTCAGGACCAGCTCCTGTGTCTCCCCGAATCCCTCCTGTGTCTTTTGCCGAAGCGCAAAACTCCTGAAAATAAAACTTGGATACCTAAATTTTCCCCATGCATTAAAAATGCATGTTATTTGAGCAAAAAAGTAAAATGTTGTGAACAAATCAAACAGAACACACAGCAGGGCATTTTTTGTATCATTATTTTTCACACATAAGAGCCCTCTGAGTCATTATTTGACTTTTTGGGCTGAGAGTGGATTTTTGTATGTTTTCTTTCCACACAGTTACTGCTAATTTACACATCACGCGTTACAGCACGTACGCGTTATACGCGCAGCAGACGCGCGTAACTTTTTTCCATGTTAACCTATGATGATATTTACACTTCTAGCGTTATACGCGCGTATGACGGACATGTGACGCGAAGCTGCGCTCTAATTTAGGATGGATTTCTAATTTTGTGCGCGCACCAACGCGTCTCCCATTGAAATCTCATGTAAAACTTTATTTTTCTAGCGGTCCTTGGCTTTAGATCACATCTGCACGCACACTGCACTTGTGTCTAAACATCAGCAGGAGGAGCAGCAGGTTTTACAGTGATTCTGGACATCGTTTTTTTTCTTTCATAAAGTCTCGCGTCTGGACAAACCAGCGCACAGAGACCATGAAGACAAACACATGCATGTGATTTGTGTTGCTCTACATCAGTCCTCTGGCTCGTACTGTCCTCTACACTGCTCCATAGACTACACAGGGAGAGCATCAGAAGCCGCGGACCTGCGCGCACGGTCAGTGTAGATACTCCAAAAAAATGTTACGCGCAGAGAGCGCGCAGTAAACGCGTACGCGCTGTTTACGCCTACTGTGTAAATCCCCCGTTAGTGCCACTTTATTCCCAAACTCTTGTTAACTCATTGCATTGAGAAATACTAAACCAAGCTTAATGTCAAGGCCTGGATTGAAGCACTTTGATAAGAATGACTTTATATTGTGAATATAGGCTACAGAGTATATATTTTTACATTTTCTCCTGGTGGTGTGCCGCAAGATTTTTTCAATGAAAAAAGTGTGCCTTGGCTCAAAAAAGGTTGAAAAACACTGGATTAGACCACTAAGAGTGCATATTATATTTTGTACGAGCCCTTTAAGACATTATTTCACGTCCTAAAAAACTATGTAGATAAAACAAGATTAATAACATAATAAATGTGCAAAATTCTCATTATCATTTTCACTGGACAAAAACTATACTTACTATCTCTTCTTTAGTGATAGTGATAATTACTCCTGCGTCTCTGCCAAAATGTAATCCTTATCAGTTATTTTTTTAACAAAACTCAGACAAGCAAGAGCACAGCCCGAGGCGTCATCTTGATTGTGTTGAACAATGGTCCAGATAATTAGCTCGTCCACCTTAATGTGTCATTTTGGGCACAGCATTTGTCACTGTGGATAAAAGCCAGGTCCCACGAGTAAGCCAGGCCACTGATTGTTTAGTCAGAAACAAAGCACTTCCAATTGAAAACATAGAAGAAGAAAAAGGACACGGGGAGAAATGTGGGCGACAGTAGCTCAGTTGGTAGAGCATTGGCCTTTGAGCCTGAAGGTCGTGGGTTAAAGCCCACCGTAAGACCTACTTCACGACTCCCACTGATGTCTGCTGTCGTTGTGTCCTTAGGCAAGACACTTAACCCCACTTTGCCTGAAGCTCCCACTGAAAGATCTCAGCTCCTGTGGACTCACCACCTGCAGGAGGATCAGTGAGGGGCTGGTGCTAAGTGTACTGGGTGGCATCTCTGGCCACCCCCCCCGACCCAGAAATGGATTAAGGGGAAGAAAATGGATGGATGGATGGATGTTTTGTTCAGCACTTTGAGTTGCCTTGTGTATGAATTGTGCTATACAAATAAACTTGCCTTGCCTTGAGATTACATTTCTCCCCGTGTCTGCGAACAAATGTCCACAACAGCCGCCTGGGAGCTGCTTTAGTCTTGCACAGGACCTGTCCATGTTCTGCGGCCGCTGCGTGGCCATGGTCCTCGTTCTGTAGCACAGGATCTGGATCTGTAGCGCGTCTGTCCGTGTGGAGTGGATCCCTCTCTCAATGTGGATCTCCCCGAGGTTTCTCACTTTTCTCCCTCTGGGTTTTAGAGTTTTTCCTTGGACATTTATTAACATTCATGGACATTGGTCTCTCCATATAGACCAATATATAATTTGTGTATTTTCTGTGTCTTAACTGTTGATTCTCTGATCTGTGTTGGTGATTTCAATGTTTTTGTTAAGTCCTCTGAGATGACTTCTGTTGTGATTTAGGGCTATACAAGAATTAACTGTATTGTATTGTTTTGTAACAGCGCTTTGTGACTCTGAAAAAAACAAAAACAAAGAAACTATGTAAACTAGTTCCTGGGTCTCAAAATAGTCTCAAGTTCCACATGCATTTGTTTTTAGCCTCTAAACTTTCAGACCATCATCACTTAGCCAATCAGCTCTCTGCCCAAAGAGTCAAATAGTGACTTACGGGGCTCTTTCTTACAAGTATGCAAAAGTTAACGTTTGTTCCAATAATCTCTAGAAGAACAGCACACTGGTCTTTTACAAAACTATTTATCTTGACAAAGACCAATTGTGTTATTGAGGAAAAAAGTTAGGTACACCATCTTTGACTTGAATCAACATGAAAGCTAGGGTATAACTGCTTTCATAAATATACACTTTTTTGAGCATGATTGGTCCTTTCTTGTTCCCATCTGAAAAAGCCGATCTGAAGATGTTACAAAGGCCAACATTTTCAAGCATGTGAAAAATAGTGGCTCTTTTGAAAGGGAGTCCAACGGCTGCGGAACCCTGAGAGAAGAGCTTGCAGGAACTTAAGTTTTTATATGAGGAAGTTTGTTGAAGGCCAAAACTGCTTTTTGAAAATGGTTTTGTATGAAATTGATGTTCTGTCTCCTCACATCAGTTTGCATGGGTTTTCCTGAGAGGAAACAAAATATGCGCCTCAGTGCACAATAATGTAAAGTCTGTGTGGGCAGTTTTGTATCGTAAACACAGATATTGCTCATGCTATCTTTTCTGTATTAAGTGATGTGAATTTTAGGGCCTTATCTGGATGCACATATTGGATACTTTTTCCCTGGTTCATTTAGGTTAATTTTAAGGTTTACTTTATTGACACCTCAGTCCCCTTTCATAGAAAAACTGAACTAGTTTTGTTCATTAAAAATTACCCCAAAATGAATGACCAAACTCAGGTAAAAATAAATGGAGAAATTAGATTTCTCTAAATACCCTTATAGATAGATAGATAGATTAATACTTTATTAATCCCCATAAGAGAAATTCAGGTGTCCAGTAGCAGCAAAAAATAAATAAAAAAAATGGATAATTCTAAAAAGCTAACAATAGTGATAATCAGCAACAGCCCTTTAGGTCAGAGCAGAGGTGGAGTTGCCTCTGGGTGGAGCAGGACAGGTCACAAGGTGGAGTAGCCGCTTGGTTCAGACCATTTTCTCTGCTCTAGTCCAAAGTAAAATGCAAAAAATGCAGTGGATTTTCTCCTGATCCGCTTGGTTCGGACCATGAATCCTCTCCGGTCTGGACCAGTGCAAAACTATGAACGCTGTACTTCAGTAATATCTCAGGTAGAAAAAAGCAATAAAAATAAAAATTCAAAACTGTTTCAAAGCTACTTGGACTTTTTCCAGCGCATTCAAAATTAGAAGTATAATCCATCCATCCATCCATTTTCTACCCCTTAATCATTTTCTAGGGGGGTGGCAATCAGTGATGTCACCCTAGTCACATAACACCAGCCCCTCACTGATCCTCCTGCAGGTGGTGAGTTCACAGGAGGATGGCTGCTGTCAGTGTGAGCATAGCATGGATTTTTCAGCGGGGGCATGAACGTATAATATAAACGTATAATGTGAAAGATGCATTTCCAAATATCCACAGTTTTAAAGATGAGCTTCAAACACTTCGGCCCCGACCAAAATGAGCCTCTGACACCTCTGATCGAAAAGAACTAACCAGTACTTCTCTGTCTTTTGCTGCAGATGTTCCCTCTGGGTATGATCTCGGTCTCCTATGACGACTGGGAGTACCCGCTGGAGAGCCGGGTGCGGGACGGGGTGGGCATCATCTCCTCCGCAGCCACAGCCATGCTCAGGGAGAAGGGGGAGCTGCCTGAGGCCCAGAGCGGCTGCTACGGGACAGCATCTGACCGCAGTCCAGGGAAACTGCCTCCCAGCGCCCTCCGCAGGTCTGACAAATACTCTTATACAAGATATGGGTGGCTCGCATGTTATAAAGTGATTTCTTTTTAGCTCCAGCCGTTCTAAAAAAGAAAAGAAAAAAATCTAATTCTAGTGCTTTTACAGAAATGTTCAAAAAAGTCCTTGTCAAACAAACTAAATAAATTAAACTAGTAGATCCATTCAGATTTATTTTGATTTGCCATTTACAGTAAAAATACATTTGAATACATTTGCAAAAGACCCCAATGTGCCACTGACAAGTACATAAATAAAACAAGGTTAAAAGCACAGACATAAAACAATCCAGGCTAGTAATCAGGCACTTCTGGCTCAGTCATGTCCCTCTGCATCTGTTGTAACCTTACATTATTACATCATGGACAGAGATATGTCATTCTTTTTAAATCACAACAAATGACCTACTTTACTTTTTGTCATCTACTCTTTTTTTGTTATCAGTTATCAGTGTTATCAAAAAACATGACTACAAAATTGGCAAATTAAATACATATATGTTAAAAATATATCTTAGTTTGGTGCACTGTTTGATAGATTAATGAAAGATGAAAGATGTCAATGAAAGTCATTACACATTGACGTCCTACATGCAACCCTAATACCCGAAGGCTAACCCTAACCCTAAGACAATAATACACTAAGGCCCCGTCCCACTTCTGAGGGCCCTCGAGGTGTGAGTGCCCTCAGCAGAAAAGGGCCTTCCCATAGGGGGAGCGCACTCACAGGATATTCTCCCAATTCTTGGGTTTCATAAGACATCAGGGTAGTGGCGTGAATAACAAACGTAGGACAGGACGTGACGTACCCTGGCGGTGCAGTCTGCCGGGTTTATACACAGAGATATAGTAGAAGAAAAAGCGCTGTCAAAATGCCATCATGTGCAGTGTAAGCTTGTAGCAACCGTGCAAATAGAGAGAAAGACAAGAGTTTCTTCCGTGTTCCAACTGTGGTCTCATATAAAGGAGTACACTACAAAAAAATCACTCGAATGAGGCGGGTGAGGTGGATCAAGGCTTTCCCAGATAAGCGCCCCCTGCAGGCCACCCAAATGAAACGCATCCATTCCTTCTGTTTTTCTTTCCAAAAATGCCTGAGATCAAGACTCTTTTGAGAAATATTTTATAGTACTCCCTTAGAATTGAGTGTCCCCCTCCCGATTAAGACAACAACCGTACACCGCAGGATGAGAGCCTTTTGACTCCAAACAGACACGATTTACATGGTTTTCGATAGGAGCAAAACTGAGTTGTCCCATCACTGCTCATTCGCCCCCTACTGGCCAGTTTAATGAAACCCAAGAATTGGGACACGCCTGGATCTAGGGGACAATATGCAAATGAAATGAGACGTTTTTAATTCTAGTTCATATGCAGATTTGCTATAATTGGGTACAGAACTACTGCGCATCACGCACTCATAGAGCACACATGCACACAGACACACACGTACGCACACAGAGGCAGACACACACGCACACAGAGACAGACACATGTACATACACGTATGTGCACAGAGACAGACGAGTACAGCCACAGATCAAGTACAGTAAACTGTGTTAAAGCGAGGAACTACATCAGTGGTTCTCAAACTTTTTACACCAAGTACCACCTCAGAAAATACTTGCCTCCCCATGTACCACAACAAATGATTCACCAAGGCTGGAAACTGAACAGTTCTGGAAGAACATATGGGAGAAGGAAGCTGCACATAACAGAAGTGCACAATGGCTGCTGTCCCTGAGAGAGGAGCACAGCCACCTCCCAGAACAGAACTCAGTTACCATCACAGAGGCAGACATCCGAGCAAGAGTCTCAGGTATGAAAAACTGGACAGCAGGGAAGGCCTACATGGCACGCCACCCCCAAGTGGCTGGCATAGTGTACAGAAACTTCTGTGCAGAGTATGGGATGGAAACCCCAAAGTCCAAGTGGGAAACTCCTCCAAAGGTGGTGGAGAATGAGCGTGTGAAGATCCTGTGGGACTTCCAGATACAGACCGACCGAATGGTAATGGCGAACCAACCTGACATTGTGGTGGAAATGTGTGGAAATGTGCAGTGCTAGGTACAGCAAAGATACTGCGCAGAACCCTCAAGCTCCCTGGCCTCTGGTAGAGGACCCAAGCTTAGAGAGGGATAACCACCCATGGAGGGCAAAAGGTGTGTGTGTGTTTCTTTAATAAATATATATTTATTTATTTTTTCAAAGTGGTACGCGTACCACACTTTGAAAACCACTGAACTACATCAACATGCTGCGGCCGCTTCGGGAGCGAACGCCACTACACATGGCACCAACACACGCATTAAATCCTCTGAATGACTCATGCACACTTCCACACTTCGGAGCTTCCTCACGTTCAGCACAAACTTGCGCTCGGGAGTTTCCTGTTGTTTTCTTTCATTGTGACGCGGCTTATCCCGACAGCTACTTTACCAACTATCGTAATGCATCATGGGATCACCCTCGCGCGCAAGGGAGCTCCGGACCTCACTTGCGCACTAAGCTGGTTTTTAAGGGTGTGAGGGCCCTCGCAGTCTTATTGGTGGCTTTAATTTCCACCTCGAGAACCCTTTATGGTGCCCTGCTGAGCCTGATCTGAGTAAAGTCATTGAGAAAAAGGACCAGAGAGAGCTGGGCACCAGACACGACAGGAGGATTGACAGAGTTCCAGCTATCTTCCAGAACCAAGACAAACCTGGCTACTTCCAGACCGTGTGGAAAAAGGTCCCAACAGCACCACCATGGCACAAAGTCCATATTGGGTCTGGCTTACACAAAAGTTACAAATCAGTCCTATTTTACATAAAACAAGTAAATAGTCCCAAGACCATGTTTAAGTGACTATTTTGATAAAATAATAATAATGAATAAAACAATTGATAAAAATCATCTTCCAGTTAATGAAAATGATACCTGTCATGTGAATCTGGGTCTACTGTTTCTTCATGGCGTAAAAGCTGGGGTACCTAACGTTCAAACCACAGCAGTAGAACTATGCAATCCAATCTATGTAACTCATTCCTCACTCTCAAAACAGTATTTTCTTTAGCCTCAGATCAGCTTTTTCCTACCACCCTCACAGCCAATCAGCTTTCCGCCCCAAGAGCCAAATGATGTCAAAGTCAAAGATACGTTTTCTAATATGATGAAAATGTAGTCCCAAGACCATGTTAAGCGACAAAATGAACACCTATAATGCATTATACTTGTTTTCTGAATAAGAATTGTGATTTGATTCTGTCAGGTATGGATCGTTCTCCTCTCCATTCATACACCATTTTCATCGCCTTGCACCCAATCCGCCTGCTTTTACGACTCCATTCAGAACCCTCCTCTTAAAAAGGAATAAACTGAATAAACGCTGAGCAGAGGCCACCGCTCCGCTCTGTGAAAACTTACGAGGCGCCTTATTAGGAGTGATTCTGACCGTTACAGCTTTACCGCGGCCCATTCCTCTGCCTTCCACGAGCCGGGGTGACAGGTTGATTCAACATGACTGAGTTCCCAATAGAAGCTCCCCCTCTCTGTCTCTCTCTCTCTCTTGCTCCGTCATCTGGCTAACTTATTAGATCGGATTTGCATATTTGTCAAAACAACTGCAGCCAATTTGGGTGATAATAAAGTGACAGGTCGAGTTTGCGCGCCCTCTGCGATGGAAATGCGAAGGGTTGGGATTTGTGGGCTGGAATTGGAAACATGAAGGATTGATAGGGTTTTGTTTTGCCACGGATTTTTCATGATTCAAATGGTGAATTGGGGAAAGAAAAACTACTCTTGGCTTAGTATATGAAGAATAAGATCTCTCTTGTCCAAGTATACATGCAGGCTAAGGCCACTCTTGCCTCAGTATACAGTACATGCAGGGCTGATATTTCACAGCAGGCTTTGTAGACTGTGCTGTAAGTAAGGAGGATTTGCATTTGTTCGTTTAACATTATGTTTTGTAAAAGGAAAAGGAAAATATCAGACCACAACCAGCTGTCATTTTATTAAAAAACTATGTTATCTTCACTTACTTGTTATAAATAACCTTGTTAGTCACCATTTGACCTAAAAATGTGATAGAGGCTGCACTGACTAGATTACATAGTTTTACTCTTGTGGTTTGAAATGTTGGAACCCTAGATTTAATACATACAGCATGAAGAAACGGCAGTAATGTTGACAGGAAGAGGATTTTACTATTGGTTTAGGAGTCACAATGATGACCCTGCTCTATCCGGATTCACCTCTGTGTGTGAAATAGCTCCTCTGTGGTTGTGCTAGTGGCCGATTATTGATGCATGTGTATACTAAAGATGGCTCTTGGTGCAAACAAGTTAGACATTTAAAACTAGAAAAAGACCCGTATGAAAAGAAATACAAATAATCTGCAAAACATTTTTTTAAATCACTACTACAAAGTGCACTTATCATTCTTAAAATTCCCGTTCTTTACTATTGCAACAACACGTCACAGTCTCACGAAGGCCTGACCCGGTCGTGGAGGAACAACAAAAAACGAGCCGGCATTCTGTTCTGGTTTTGAGGCGCCATGAGAACACGACTTTGTCAATAACATCAGTTCTCTCATGAGCCCAAACTTCTGTCTTGCGCGCCGTGTCACCTAAGGACGCATTGCAGCTCTCAACCCTAGCCCTGACAGGAGGACATCCTCAAACACAGCCTCCGTATCCCGTCACATTACTCACACACAAAACCAAGGTGTTGTGTCAAAGCACATCTTTCTCTTTTTATAGTGCAATTCTGCTCGGCTGCATGCTCGCGGATTGCCCTGTCTGCGTGCATTTGCACATTTAGCGGAAACACAGTCTCTTTGTCTGCCATTCTTTTGCATTTTTTTGTGCTTGACATACAATTGTGATGGTGTATGTTGTCTATATGAAGTGAAAGGACTTCTGTTTAGTTGGATGTTTCAGAACAGGGAACAGGGGGAATAAAATAATACAGGGTCTTGTTGTTTGTAAAGAGTAATTTTTCGCTTT